CCAATAAGCATAGCGGGAAATCAATGCAATCTACCGCACCACTAAGGGACTTCAAGTTGTTGGAGAATAGTTTTCTACGCATTTCTCTCTGCAGAATTGCTTCCTAATTGTACCTGGAGCTCTGAAGTGTTGTTTTCCCAGGCCACTTTATGATTGTTGTGCTTCAGTGTCATGACATATGCAAGTCAGTAGCTAACTAAGATTTCGAAATTCGCTCTGTCGTATTGCTTTCAAACGTGTCACACACCACCAGGGACATGGTGCTATCCTAATCAAGGGAGAATATAATCGCAGGGTGATATAGTGCAGCCCTGAAAACATACAATATTTTCACGATATGATAGCAGTGTTAAATAGGAAGTTCGGGGAAAACAGGATTTGATGAGTATCTAAGTAGGCTCTCATGTTAGAGGGCGCAGGTCACAACATTTAGTTTTGAACTTCAGGGGGGGAAAATCTCCCTTTGAAATGTCTGGAGACGGCAAAGAAAATAAGTTAAAACACGCAGACTTTCCCTGCTCTGCCAAAGCAGATCTGACCAGGTGTCGTACTGTGCACTTCACATTTGTGTAAACCCTAAAGTTAATCTCGAAGGTGCCACAGGACTACTGTTGCTTTGAAAGTTTCAGACTAACACGGCTGCCGCCTCTGAGACTGGAAGTTAGTGGTTTTAATTAAACCAACCCTGAACTGAACTTTCAGATCGCTGCAGATTTGCCACTAGTACATGTTACATCATTCTTCATCCCTGCCAGCTGAAAGGCACGCTATGTACCACTTTAAAATAACTACCTCCTCCTCCCTCCCCCCCATCCTAATGCAAACTGGAACGGAATTAAGAAGCGGGATGGTTGCAATCCTTAATGATGGTGCTTATGCTCGAGAGGAAGTGGGTTTTAGATTTTGAAAGCGATCGTTTTCCTTTCGAATGGCATGTCTGGGAGGAAGGATGTACAACGCCAGGAGAAGTGAAACGATTGCCCGTGTAGTTACACAGATCGCCACGAATTCTGTAAATCCCAGTAGAGATGGGTGTCTGGCTGCAACACAAAGACTTATTGCATCCCACGGGGAAGGCTAGGGATGTGCCTGCACCGTTTGGGATGGGCACTGCGTTGCGTAGATTGGATTCCATCCTCCCATTGATACCTTCACTAAATGCCCCTTGCCCAGGCTCCTTGGCGCCAGACAACTCAAATCCATTTAGTATTTTCATCTCCCCCTCGATCTCCCAGCCGGGTACGCGCGGCAGAGCTACCTCTCGCGAAAAGGAATCAGATCTTTGCGTGCGTGGGGCAAGTCGTGAGCCGTTTGGCTGGGTCAATGTTTTAGTGGCAAGTAGTTACACTTGGGATGGGATTCACTCCTGCACCGGAGCCTTTTCTGGTGCTACTCGGGGCCCCACTGAAACAGCCCAGTAATTAATTCCAGGGCATCGATAGGGAGTTACTTAGCTTACCGCTTCTTGTTTAAATTACCTCTCCATTCCCTCCGCCCTTTAGGCCGGACAGAGGGTGTTAGTTACAAAATGGAAGCGGGCGCCGGTGCCTTAAGCAAACCACAGCTTCTCTAGAGCCTGGAATATTCAAGGTCTAGTTTGTTTAGGTTTTTACGTTAACTAATGGGCAATAAATCCGAGGATTTGTGTCCTACTCACAGGTTTGCCTGGTTGGGAAATCTATACCTCTAAGAAAGAGAAACAGCAGAGCCGCCCGGGTTTTGTTCTCTCAAGTGTAGGAATGCTCCCTTGTCCCTTTTGAAAAGTTCATTTGGAAATATACAAAAGCAAATTCTCTTACATTGGGAAAGGCCACATGAAAAAGGAAGTACTTTCCTTAACGTCCTATATCATTTATGTGCAATATACAAACTCTCGTCTTTAAATCTTTGTGCTCGAATGTTGCTTGGGTAGTCAGCAGACTCAAGCCAATCAGTTCGGTGAGCAAAAGGGTGAAACCCTACGGAAATGCACCATGTGTTTATTCAAACAGCAATCCACTGTTTTAACTAAGAGATTCAAACTCAATCAGTTCAGCCCCTGTTTTCCACCCAAAAGCTTATCATCGGGGTGGTGCGGAAGGATCAGACTTAAAGGGGCTTGTTTGGCAGGTATTTGATCCCTATTAGCGGCCGGCTTTCAACCCAGCACTTCCCTTGTAAGTTTAATGGGCGGCTGCGATCCAGTTCTGTGGCTTCCGCCCGCAGACCCCCGAAAACCAGCGGGCTTGCGGGGGGCTAGAATTTTGAAACTTTCCGGGGCTGCCAGCAGTCTGTGATTGGCCCTGGCAGATGTAACCTCCATGCAAATGAAGCCACGCCACCCCGCCGCCTGGAGATCAGTAGAGATCTGAGAGAGAAAGGAGCATGCATTCAGGCTGGGCAAGCTCAGGGAAAACCTGCAAAGACACGCCAAAAAACACACCCCAAAACACAACCCAAACAAGCCTAGGCAAGAAACCCAAGCCCCGCCGGCAGCCCCCGACCCTCAGGCGCACGCATTCACACCCCCCTGCCCCCAGAGTGGCTCTAAAGGGAGAGCTTTCTTCCTCTTATTTCTTATGAACCCAGGATGAGCAACAAAGAAGACTCGAGCAAGTGTTGCCCCGCAGCCGCTCCGATCTCCAGTTTTACCATCCAGTCCATCCTGGGCAGCGGTCCCTCGGAAGGGGGCAGGGAGCCAAGTTCCAAGGCAGCCACCGCCTGGCCGGGCAGGAAGCGAAGTCTGTCGGTGTCCTCCGAGGAAGAGGAGCCGGAGGAGAGCTGGAAACATCACGGCTGCTTCTGTCCTGAGTCGCAGGGCCCCAAAGAATCGTGCCACAAACACCAGCTCATCAGTTTCACGTGTCTCAGTAAGTACCGGCCACATTTCCCTCCTTGGGAAGCATGCAGAGCTGCACAGAGCCAGCTGTTTAGCAGATAGAATTGCAATGGCATCGAAACATCGCTACTGCTCGCCACGATGCCTGGCTCTGATCGCGGGCGCTTTTCGATTGTGAAACCCCTTCATTTACATCTTAGCCTAGAATACAGTCTGGGGTGGCCCGTGTGGAGAGGTCTGGCTAAACGTAGGGGAAATCAGAGCATTTGGGCACGGCACAGCCCCGTGGAAACATCTCTTGTCAAACGGTAACACGTCCTGTTTGGTTTTGTTGATGGTGTTTCACTGAATATTTGTTGTTGCTGTTGTTGTTTTCTGGGCAGACTGAGTTCGTATCGGTTCTTTACCGGATTTGGTACAAAGGGTTTAGAGATCCCTTGGATGTTAGTCCTTTCCCTGACTACTTCCCTCCTTCCCTTGCGAACGATTATTCGTTTAACATGATTGATAACTGTGGGCTTCTTAGATTGTTCTTTACAGCTCCCGAGTAAGGGGAAGAAAGATGTTAGTTCTTAGCATTACTTGGGAATAAACGGGCTGTGAAATGTTATGCTATAAAGTAACATCTACCCGGTCTTCAGCTATAGGAAAGAAACACTTTACAAAACCCAAACAGCCCCTGACTCAACCCATCTATCTTCACTGAGGATAGAAGGGATGTCTTTCTAAAATCAGAACCTCTTAATTCGGCAAACTGATTTTCCTCAGCACCTGTGCTGGGAAACAGACTGAGCGCCGCTGGTTGGTGAAATTGGCTGGTTTTCCTCAGGTAGTCCCCGTGCCCTGGGAAGCTGGCACTGGGAGCGTGTCCTCTGTCCAGATCTTTGGTGGCGTGTCCGATGTGGAATATCGCTGTTTGTTTGCTTGTTTGTTTCCTTAAAGGCACCCCGAAAGGAAGTGGAGGAGCAGTGACAGTCAGCACAGACAGGACGCAATTCCTCTCCCCATCCCAACAGGACTTGAAGGAGGAGAAAGAGAAACACTTCCCTCCAAACTCCCCGTCTTCAGAGGACAGACAAAGGGACGGAGGGGACCGGCAGGCTCTTTCAGCCAAAAAGAAGACTCGCACTGTTTTCTCCCGGAGCCAAGTGTATCAGCTGGAGTCTACCTTTGACATGAAGCGGTACCTGAGCAGCTCGGAGCGGGCCTGCTTGGCCTCCAGCTTGCAGCTGACGGAGACCCAGGTGAAAACCTGGTTCCAGAACCGCAGGAACAAATGGAAAAGGCAACTCTCGGCAGAACTGGAGGCGGCCAACATGGCTCATGCCTCAGCTCAGACATTAGTGGGGATGCCCCTGGTTTTCAGAGACAATTCTCTTCTGAGAGTGCCAGTGCCCAGGTCTATCGCCTTCCCAGCCCCTTTATACTACCCAGGCAGCAACCTGTCAGCCTTACCTCTTTATAACCTCTACAACAAAATCGACTACTGACTCCGAGAGCCGAGGGCACTGGCTCATTCTCTGTATAGCAATCAGATAGCCGCAGTGAACGTTCATAGATTTCACCCGTCTGTATCCACAGGGAAACAAATGTGCTTCTTGCAATGTTAAGACATACACCATGTGTATTCATTCTTTTTATTTATTGGAGCCTCTCGGTTTGTTTGTTTATTTTCCAGGCTGACACCGTGTTTTTACGTACGTTCGCCCTGCATTCTCCCACCAGGCATAGCTGACTTTCTGAGCTTCACGGGACTTTTAAAAAACAAATTGCCATCGCCTCTCTATCTGCACGGGCAGGTAGGAAAAGGCCAGGGCGCTTGGTTATTTGTCTCTGCAATTGTATAGGCCAATTCCCCCCTCCCTTTTCCCTCCCTCCCTCCCGCTTTCCTGAATATTATTCTGTCACTTGAAAATAAAATGTCAAAAAGCATATTTCAGATCTGTACATATTTTTAAAGAAAATAAAACATTTTAAACGTCGTTTGTAACTTTTGCCACGTGGAGTGCCTATTTCTGTTCGAAAGGCAAGGCGCTTTGTTGTGGAGCAGCGTCCGTGTGTGAGCTGGGCGGGGGGACAGTTAGCAGGGAGAGGGGACAAAAGCCTCCTGCGATGTGCTGCTTCTATGCGAAGGAGAAACTTTCACTAGCGGTTTCCGACTGAATCCAGGGAAGGTTGCAGTTCTTGTCCACCAGCGGGCTTCCGCTTGGCGGCATCTCAGCAAAGTCAACTGGACACGAAGAACTGTGCACTCGCTGATCGAAAGGGGGCTGGAAATACTGGGTAACGCTCCGAGAAGTGAGCTGGCAGTTGCGATGTAGGGGGGGGGGGGGGAAGCTAGCGGGGAAATAAAATCAAGTCGCTGTATGACTTGCCATTTCTGTAATAATATGTTAATCTCATCGATCCTAGCTAGGCTCTGCTATGTAAAAAGTATCCTACGGATCAACACCAGTGACTTTTAGTTTGTGTAAAGACTCCAAATATTAAACATGCTGCAATTATTACTTAATTTTAAATAGACTATCTAGATTATGTAAACCCACCACTATGTACCCCAATCCGCACTGTATATATAGGTGCACACTGTTGGTTGATGTTTTTCTTCTTCATATTTTATACCCCCTTTCTCTCCAGAAAACCGTACTCGGGCTGACTGGGAAGAAGACTTTTTTCTCCTCCCACCTACCATTATAGTGAAAGGGAAAGATGGTCTATGGATTGCAAGCCCCACACCTTGAAAATGCCCAATACATTTGGATCCCAGCAGTCCTGAAACTGAAAAGGAGACGAACCTTCTTTATTAAATGCTCAGAGCCGAAAAGTGTTTCCGGAAATGAGGGGTGTTTTATAGTTTGCAGTGTATTCTGCTAAATGCCACGATCACATGTAAAGCGCTTGCCAGCTCCTTTTAATAGAAATGTGACATTCTGAGCCATGATTGATTTTAGCGCTCAGCAGCTTCTCTTGCAAGTGCGAAAAACACCTGCAGCCTCCTCTGAACGGAGGATGAAGTGAATCGTTTAAACAAAAAGTAAATACTTCATCAAGTGTTATTTCAATTGCAGGCACCGCTGCATTTTTATCATAGCCACCTGTTCCTTGGTTAAGGCTTTAAATGGAAGAAGACATTTCAAAAAGCAATAACTAAATACATTTCAGCTGACATCCCATTTACGATAACAAAATAGAGCCTGAGGAATAGAACGGTATCGTCCCGATAAATGAAATGAAAAGTCTCAGAATCTTTCCTTTCATGTAACACGAAATATTTAAAAAAAAATTTAGAGTATTTTGGGGTATCAAATCAAATAAACTACTGTATAGTGAAGGGCTCCGGGTAATGGCTCAGATGAAAATTAAACACATGGTTTGCTAGGATGCAGGATCACTTAATCACATTATCATCTTTAATTTTTGCTCTGGTTTGGCATTAAAACAATCAGAATTCACTGACAACGTTTTGCCTCTCGATTCTTGCATAATTCCGATGTATTTTGCGTGTTAATATTATTTCCGAAATACACTGTAATAACCGGCTGAAATTTATGTTAAGTTTTATTTCATTATTATTGCATCTCAAAAGCTTTTTACGATCACAATCAGACCATGCTTTCTCTGTAAATACACGCATACATAAGTAGTCGCCTTCACTGAATTATATTAAGGAAAATGAAAAATAAACTAAAATATTCTCACTCGAGGTTCACTCTGAATAAAAATATCCCCCCTCCCAACATTTTAAAGTAACCCTTTGATCTACTCCTCCAAACTAGAGAAATGAAAGGACGCCTTTTCTATTGTCCATTAATAATTACCCTTGCTAGTTTGGTCAGACGCAGACATATTTGAAGCAGCGAGACTACATTGGTGTGGATTTGGCTGCTTTGCACTCTTTACATTGGTGCTAGGTGAGGCTGCTTCCTCCCAGGACTGAACCGGAGGGCAACCAGTACTAATTCCGGATCGACTGAAGGAACGTTATAATCAGAGTCACTCCCCCACCCTTTCCATTTTGAAACTTTTTGATACTCTGTGGTATTAAGACACAAGAAACCTGTGTGTAAGATTCAGTTCTCTCGCACTATTTTATATAAACCGCCTATCTTACTGCTAGCAGCAGACGTTTCTAATTCATTTCCAATTAAATCAAATTTGACCTTTATCTGAAAGGCTAATTGTTCTTTGTATTTCTCATGAATAAAACCCAATTATATATATATATATAAACTAAAGAGAGTGGGAGAGAAACGAAATCGCTTAAAACTGCCAGGGGCATGATAAAGCTAGATCAGTGACATGAAGAGAACAAATGGAATAATATTACTCCATTTAGAGGAGTGAATATCGTACAAAGCGTGTCCCACAAAGTTTTTAAAGAGTTGAATAATCTCTATTTAGAGACCTAAGTAACAGTAGAGAAGAAGAGAAAAATGAAGGAAGATGCATTTTCAGCTGACGCACTTGTTTTCAAAGGAAGAAGAAAAGGAAAACAGAGAGTCCTACAAGTCCAGTTTTAATGCAACTGGTTTTGCTAAGACTCCGAATTATAATATAAATAAATGTAAATAGAAAAAGCAAACAAAATGAGAATTACTCGTATTAATGGAACCCAGCTACTACATGGATGGAGTTAATGCCTCCATGGATGAATGGCGCATTATTGGAATTGGTGGTTTAATGACAGATGCAAAGAAGGCGCAAGAGCTGGAATATGAGGAGTGGGTCATCGTATTAATGGAACCCAGCTACTATTGGAATTGGTGGTTTAAGGACAGATGCAAAGAAGGAGCAAGAGCTGGAATATGAGGAGTGGGTCTTTCTCCGCTTATGCCTTCCCCGTGGGTGGATGGGTGCAAGAAGAATACACCTGATTCTTTGATAACAATAGAGCATGGGTGCAGCTAACCAGTGCATGGAGTTGTGCGCGGGTGGAGTGTGATCCCCACTTTAGCTGCTTGTTCTTAACCTTTCACTACTGTTCAACAGCTATTTTTTATTAACAGCTTCCCTGCTCCCAAAGGAGAGCAGCAGCCACTCCTGCCAGAGCAGCACAATCCGTTTTCGTTATATCCCAGAAGCACCTAGGCAAAAGAGAATCCCTTGGTCAAAGACGGCTACTCCGCTAGCATCAGAAGTGGCCGAGACGCGCACACTGCAAGTCCCAGCATGCCATGCCCCATCCAGAGACCGGCTCCACTTGCGTACGCTTTGCCTGTGGCACACTGGGACATGCAGTCTTCGCAAGGAAAAGCCGCCGGCGTAGGCTAACGCGTTGCATGCTGGGAGTTGTAGTGGCACCTCTGCACGCGGGGCATGCCGGGATGGGTAGCTTTCGTCATTCAAACCCGCCAATGCGAAGGGCACGCGCGGTGCGGGGGCGCG